CACCAGATTGGCCATTTAGCATGGATCCACATAGGTCCTGTTTGGCTTTTCCCGATCAACTCGTCTCGGCGTTGTAGGGGAATGGATCAGGTCAGTAACATTATGGTGAGTAACCATGAGTAACCTGTCCACATCAGCATGACATCAGCATCCTCTCTCTCATGGAAAGCCTTTAATTTTTCCCTTTTTAATATTTGACGGACGATTTCTCGTTCATTTTAAGTCGAAATTTAAATTTTTTTGCACAGTTAGATCAGATTAATTGTGCTCTTCAAAATGATATCCACTTTAATATATTTTTCGAACAAAAAAAATTGAGCCATTTTTTACCAGCCTATACCATATGGTATTGACTGGTATTGAAATAAAAGCATACCTATGTTTTGAAAAACGTACCATGGTGGTATGAACAAACCAATACTGTAGGATGGTTGAATACATGTAGTAGAAGTATATTAATTGTAATTTACGACTTTTAATATTGTATACCACACAATACCACCCCGTACCAGGGTGGTATTGTATGGTATTGTGTGGTATTTTTTGGTCCTGTAATTTGTTCACTCAGAAATTTGTAGATCCAATAGATCATGATGAACTCGTCCCTTCTGTGCAAACGTTTTCAAAAACGAATTAAAAACGAAGAAGATACCATACAATACCACCCCGTACCAGGGTGGTATTGTATGGTATTGTGTGGTATTTTTTGGTCCTGTAATTTGTTCACCCAGAAATTTGTAGATCCAGTAGATCATGATGAACTCATCCCTGCTGTGCAAACGTTTTCAAAAACGAATTAAAAACGAAGAAGATACCATATGGTATGCAGTTGGTACCGAGAGGCCAGAATTTTTTTTCTAAAAAAATATTGAAAACTGATCTCATTTTGTAGAGCACGGTGAACTCGTTCCATCTGTGCAAAAAAAATTAAAATCCGAGTTAAAACGAAAAAGATATGAGTCAATAAAGAAAGCTAGTGAAAAAAAAAATAGTCTTTAATTCTTCATCCTTAGATTTGGATTTTCTAAATGAAGGGTACAGATTTGGTTATTGATATGGTTATGCACCCTATCTTGAGCCGCGTTGTAGCCACTCCAACCTTCAACTCCTAGACAACAAATTTTGTATAGAACTCAGATGTTTTTGACGGATTTGTCATCGTCATCCATGGTGGAAGAGTTTGTCGGATCGAGTCGTGCAAGGCTCGGAATTGCTTCGTTGTATCTCGCTTTGTCTCCTCCCCATCCTATCTCATGGAATCAAAGTTAGCGGTGATTTTGGTTACCTCATCTCCGAGAAAATCCAGCTTGGCAGTGGTTGCCGTGACAGTTTATATAGTAGTCTAACCCTAATGGTTAATGGCAATTCAGTAAATAGTACTAATCCGCTAAGTAGCGTGTAGCATAGACGCATCAAAACAACATAAATCTTCTGTCTTACTTAAATAAGATAAAGAGATTCTCATTAAACACCCACCCTATTGGTTTTCTTCCAGCCCCTGCGCTGCTGCGCATAGCAAGGAAAGGCTACTTCATCTTTTGGGGGACTTAAAATAACCAACTCAACTAAAAAAAGTCCATCATTTTTTAATTGCTATGTTATATGTGTTTTATTTTGTCTATCTAGATTTATTAGGTATATAATTCAAACTAATATTCACTAACATATTGTAAAATAAAAAATACATTTGTAGAGCATCTTATAACGCCATTTATTTATAACAGCATTCTTGAATTATCAATTTTCCTATTGTGGTATTTGTGTGACAATTCATTATTGCACCCCGCCACCAATTTTCGTTCGATTATCATGAAAGTGGGTCATACCTTTCTAACTTGACTTTAACTAAGCTTCCAATCTACCTAAAAACAAACTAGAATGACCATGGAACTTCCTACTCCGTTCACAATTTACGAAATTAAAAAGAAAAACCACCACAAATAGAAAATGACAATATCAGGAGATATAATTATTCTCATCATCTACCACTAAACTTTTCTAAGCATTTTTACAAACCAGCCCATAAATCGATAGGTACAAGTAGGGTGTTCAAACGGTGTGGTTACCGTGGTAACCATTTTAACCAGTAGTATTTGGCTAATTTGGTTTGGTTAATTTCAATAATTGGTTTGGTTTGGTTAAAAAATTTAGCTTGTTTGGTTTAGGTGGTTTGGTTTGGTTTCAGGCACTCCTAACCAATCAAACCAAACTAACCAGTTAAGTAATTTGTCATATATCTAATGTATATTATATACACATACTTAATACTTTGCGTAACCACTCAAGAGTCAAATGTAAGATAATTGTATTTGTTACATGTATTTACGTTAAGGGTTAACTACAATTATGTGGATTGTTATGTGTTGTTCATTATATAAATTGCAAATTGATGCACTAACTGAAAATTTTTCTCACTTAATGATAATGTGGTGTTATATTGGTTATTTTGGTTAACCAATTAACCAAACCGAATAAACTTTAGTTTGGTTAATTTGGTTGTTGTATTAGTTTGGACGGTTTGGTTATGATATTGTATTCTATGGTTAATATATTTTAGACTTATTTGATTTGGTTATTACCATGGTAATCATTTGAACACCTCTAGGTACAAGTATTTCTTAAAGAAATTTTCGGAAGTATCATCACACAAATTGTTGTGGTTCATATTTGAGTTTTACGGACCTGAAACTAAACGACAAGCTCCCTATAAAACTACTACATATAGAAAATAACATTCATGTAAGAAGTAATTATTCTCATCATTGACCTATAAACTTTCCGAAGTGGTTTATACAAACCGAACAACAAAATATTCATGCATACACAAGCATTTTCCATAAAAAAAAATTGTCTATATTGAATAGTTTGTTATTTCAATGGAATTGAGATTCAATGGGGGAAATTGAGGAGCTTAGGTCAGGCTATCAATGTAACTATTAATAGTTTACAGCCACTCCAACCATACGATTTGATCTACAAACATTATTGCTTGATATCTTTTATTTCATAAATTCATTCCCATAAGTTGAAGAGAGTTATCAACAAAAAAGAATAAGAAGAAAAAAACATATATGTTGGAGATTTGTCATCGCTCCTATAAGTAATTCATTAAGTTTTCAATTTATAGGTTATCAAAATTTGTTTTGATCGTTGGGTTGCATACTAGTGTTAGAGAGAAAGAAAAAATCTAAAAGAGCTATGACTCGAACAACGTAAATTCTAAATGATGTTTCATATTTTCAAATATTTTACAATAAATATTAACTTTGGAAGAAATTATTTTGAAGATAAAGATTTCATTAATGGAGACAAAAGCATTGTTATCGATAGAAATGATACTATTTTTTATGGTGGGGTGACCACTAAAAAATTGAAATTGAAATTTTCATTAATTCTTGATAGTGTGGTGCAAATGGAATGGTCTGATTAAATTTTTCACGGTTGAATTTCCTTTGTATGAATTTTGTTTTTTTACTTGGTAAAGACATTTGTCAATCAATTTGTGGGAATATAATATGAATATGGTATTTTATTATTAATTTAAAATTTTTTATGATATCAAACAAAATATCTCTTGTTTTGGAAAATTAAAATTGTTATTATAGCACTGACATAATTCATTCGGCCAAAGTTCGGACCCAAATCTAGTATAGCTATAACTATATCAAGCATCAAACTTGAGCAGTAATACCTAACAATGATGAATTAGTTGTCTAATAAGTGATAACTAAGGTGACACAAAAATCTCTTGATAAGTACTTCGACTATTAATCTACTATATGTTTTACGACTCTTTGGACTCGATCTTTATGACTCTTATGTTAAAATAAATAATAATAATAATAACTTATGTGGGGATAACATGAACCGCTGACATTGAGAGTTGTCCCTCCCCATCAGGTCCCTCTCTCTCCCCCCAATCTAAGGTTCCAAAATTTCGTCAGAAACGCAAATTCAAGAAATCAATTAGTCCATTCAATTCATTGATACCCCCAACAAACCTGAGGTAGGTCTATGTACTGTGTATTATCTTCTTATCTGGTATTGTAGGCTCTCTTATTATGGAGAGGCAGGCAGCGTCTACCAAATCAGGAAGAAAATAAAAACGGTTGACTCTATCTATGTGGGAACTATTAAGTGGGCCCCAGTTTCTTCCTTGTTTACAACATCTGCATGTGTCCTCTCCCATTCAGTGATTGCTCCCAAGACGACCTAAAACAGCTCAATCTCATCCCCAATTTGCACCCCTCCCCCTCCTCCTACTACTACATGGCTTTCGTCACAGCCCGGCCGGAATTAAGAGGAGTCTTGCGTCGAATTATGTTGCATTTTTGGTTTCCACCAATTTTTTGCGGCCTATATAAAGCCTTCCTCTCTCCATTTCCGTCCTCATATCCAATTCATACAGATTCTCTCACCTTGTCTCAACTAGCTAGCTACCTACGATTCCAAACCCACAAAAATGGCTGCCATTTGGTCATCTATTTCCTCCATTATTATGCTACTAATGGTCACAGTAGGGGGGGCATTTGCCGACTACGGAGGATGGGTCGGCGGCCATGCCACTTTCTACGGCGGTGGTGATGCTTCTGGCACAATGGGTATGTTACTAACTAGCTATTTTATCATATAGTAATTTATGGAGATTTAATTACCGGCTACCTCCAGTTTTACTATCCAAGTAAGTTACCTTTTATGTTAGTACCAATTTGTTCTCCTCATTAATCGTATATATATGATATATATTAGAACTTTTTTATTTGGATATATTAGACCCTTGAATAAGATACCAATTGTTTATGTCAAATCATATGGTACCTATTAAAAAAATAAAATATTCAAAAAATACTCCTCGCTAACCGTTTAGATGATTATCGTACGTCATAATGATAACTCCTAACCTATAATACTCCCCTTTACTATGTGTCCATCAATGGGATATAGACGTATAGTTCTTTTTCCCCTCTCTAATTAATTAAGTACACATTCTTTAATTAACGAAAAAACAAAATTCTAATGGTGGCAGGAGGCGCTTGTGGTTACGGCAACTTGTACAGCCAAGGCTACGACACCAACACTGCAGCCCTTGCACTACTCTGTTCAACAGCGGCCTGAGCTGCGGGGCATGCTATGAGCTCCAGTGCAACGACGACCCGAGGTGGTGCCGGCCCGGCTCGATCATCGTCACCGCCACCAACTTCTGCCCACCGAACTTGGGTGTTTCCAACGACAACGGCGGGTGGTGCAACCCACCACTCCAACACTTCGACTTGGCCGAACCAGCTTTCCTCCAGATTGCACAATACAAGGCTGGGATCGTGCCTGTGTCTTTCAGAAGGGTTCCATGTGCGAAGAAAGGAGGGTTCAGGTTCACCATCAACGGCCACTCCTACTTCAACCTGGTGCTTGTGACGAATGTGGGCGGGGTTGGGGATGTGAGCTTGGTGTCGATCAAAGGGTCCAACACAGGGTGGCAAGCTATGTCCAGGAATTGGGGCCAAAACTGGCAGAGTAATTCTTACTTGAACGACCAGAGCTTGTCTTTCCACGTGACCACTAGTGATGGCCGGACCATTACTAGCAATGATGTGGCTCCTAGCGGGTGGCAATTCGGGCAGACTTTTGAGGGTGTTCAATTCTAACTCAAATCTACCGCACATAAAGGACCAAATGAAAGAGTGGTTTTTTGTTAAATGTGTACAAAGGAAACAAAAGAAATTTATTTCATTTGTTTCTTTCAGGGGTAGTGGGGGAAGGGAGGGGGTTAATTGGGGGCTAGTCGTATCGTCTTGCTCGCCCAATCCAAGTGGCAGAGGTGGTAAAATGGCACCCGCTTAGATCTTTTCTTTAAATTAATATAGTTGTTATTCCTAGTTATAAAATGATACAAGCAAAATTGTGAGGGGATTTTTTCAATAATAGCACCTATTAAAAAAAATTACAAAAATAGCATCTAGCCCACAACATTTACAAAAATAGCATCATTTTTATCAAACCGCACTTCCAAAGTGCGTTTTATAATTAAACAGCACCCTCCAGGTGCGTTTTATGTATAAACCGCACCTTGGAGGTGCGTTTTGCGCCACGTCAGACTAGGAACTGCACCTCCAAGGTGCGATCTATGTTTCCTCAGGAGCGGCCTTGGAGACCACAGGATCAGGTGGCGATACAGCGGTAGAACGCACGCCACTTTAGCGATCCGCGCCGTGAATCGCAGAACGCAGCTGCAAGGAGCGGTCAACCCTCAGGAACTGCAGACCACATCGGAAGGGAGCGGTTTGATCGGGGGAGAAATTATCAGACCGCCCCTGGAGGGTGCGGTCTGAAGGGTATAAATACCCCCTCCTCCCCCCCCCCCCCCTCTCATTTCTTCACACCACAACCATTCTCCACTCTCTCTCTCTAGAATTATCTCTCTAACCCCTCCCAAAAGCCTAGGAAATAGTGGTCTGTTGGTTGCTGCTAAGTCCGATCTGCCATCAGAAAACATATCCTTGGTTTTTCCCTCAACACCCGCCGAATTTCTGTCCGACTTTCGCGAAAAAAATGGACGAGTGGTTCCAAGGAGAGGGAGTTTATTATGATGAATTTCAAGCGGTACGTACTCATTATTTTGGTCAATTTTTGTTTTTGTTATAAGCTTTTTAATTAATCTATGTACTAACCTTGCTGTTATTCTCTCGTAGGTTGGGGACGACGTGAATATATACAACCAACGGTACTATTTGGATCAAGGGCCTATTGATCAGACCGACTTGTATGACCAACCCAACCATCGTTCAAGGGATGTTTGGAACGATCACCCGGTACATACAATTCTTCATCATTTATCTTTCTTTTATTTTGCTAATGTACTTAGTGGAATATAAAATAAATTTGAAATAATTTAATCGTATTGGTTGTTTTCAATCATTTAATCGAATACATAGTGCCACTTACTTCGACTCTTTATAAAGAGATGCACGTCTAAGGAAATGGGGTTTTAAGCGATTATCATGATCTTCCCATTTCTTGGGAAAATCGGGTATTAAGAGATCCTCGGATCCCCCCCTTTTTCTGTCAAAAAGGCTGTGTTTCTAAGAAGATATATACCTCTTCTAAGAGTCTAACGAGTGTTGCATTGTATTCGATTAAATTATTTAAAACAACCAATACGATTAAATTACTTACCGAACAACCAATACGATTTATGTTTATGTGTACTTAAATGAATTTTATTAATTTCAAATGTTTGAATATGTATTTATCTCATTAAATTATTATTCATTTAGAATGTTATTTATGTCAATTAATTTAGTATGTTTGTTTTATGATAATATGTATATATCTTGGAAAAATCACAAATTACTTAAATTTGATTATTAATAATATAATTGTAATAGAATTATGGTCGACATTAAATCGTTAATTTTAATTAATTTAGTTATAAGACTAAAATATTACTAATATATCATAAATCATTTTAATAATGGTCGAAATTAAATCATTAATTTTAATTTATTTAGTTATAAGACTAAACTGCCACTAATATATCATAAATAACGTTGAAATTTTTGCTAGGAGGCACAACAAATACTCTGCTACAGGGGTACGACCAATGTGCTCTCATGGAACCCAGTTATCTTGACCTATCTCAAAAGGGCACGGTTGGAGTCGATTAGGCATTTTGTAGGCATAAAAGTCGATCGCCAACTAATCACCGCATTGGTGGAGAGATGGAGAAAGGAGACACATTATTTCAACTTTCGGGAAGGAGAGTGCACCATCACACTCAAGGACGTCGCCATCCTAACTCATCTGCCCATCGACGGCAAAGCGGTGTGTGTGAGTGATCATCCCCCCGAGGATCGTGACGGCATGGACCTTTTCCTGTGCCTCGTTCGTCCTTGCCCAGTGTAGTCGATTGACGAACCATGCATTCGTTTTCCAGAAAGTCATCTCCACAATGGCAAAGATTAGCAGCGCCCAAACACCCTTGTAGGCAGAATTGATACTCTCTGATGAGTTCATTGTGGACATACCCCATCTTGTACCTCCGTCTTTATGAAATGTCCACATGGATAGGTCGTGTCCATCCAGCCACTATGCCCCTTCAGAGCATAACTCGCGCATCTTCTACAACTTCTCCTGGAATTTTTTCTCCTGGTATGCAACAGCTAAGGTAATCACAATCAAGTATTACGTTAGTAATAATTTGGCAATTTATTACAATTGGAACAACAAGCAGGTACTCTCGTTAGACTCTTAGGAGAGGTTTACATCTCCTTAGAAACGCAACCTTTTTGACAGAAAAAGTGGGGATCCGAGGATCGCTTAAAACCCGATTTTCCCAGGAAATGGGAGGACCATGATAATCGCTTAAAACCTCATTTCCTTAGGCATGCATCTCTTTAGAAAGAGTCTAACAAGTGTACCATTTATTTGATATAAGATATTGTTCTTCTCCAAAATTAAACAACCAATAGAGAGCTTACCAATCCACCACAAATTATCAGCAAGCTTCTTCCGCTTGAAATGATGGTTCCAGTTTCTCTTGAAGTGTCGTATGCACCACCTTTGGGACCACTTCCAGGCTGGATCCAAACCTAAGATGGCAGCTCTAATCCCGGCGTGCCGATCAGAGATTATTGTCAGGTTCGTCCTCCTAGTGACGTGGAGCTGAATTTGCCGGAAAAACCAACATAGCTATCAGTATTCTCTCCCTCAACCATGGCGAAGGCCACCGAAAAGACTTGTTTGTTTACATCCGCCCCACTGGCAATCAGTAGAGTGCCCTTGTACTTGCCGGTAAGGAATGTACCATCCACTTGGATCACAGGGACACAGAAGCCAAAACCATCAATAGATGGCTTGAATGCCCAAAAAAATCGTCTAAGATGGCGTTTGTTACCTGGCTCTGGCGGTTTTACCTCTTCATCTTGTTATCGAGGGGAGAAAACAGTGCCAAAATCAACCTGGGAAGGAATGCATATGATTATTCCCAATCACCATATACCGCGGCTAGAGCTTTCTGCTTTCCATGCCACGCCTTCTTATAGTTAATCATATAACCATAACGACTTGCAATGTCAGCGATTATGACTTTCACCTTCAGGTCAGGATCTTGCTCAATTAGATGCTTGATAGCCGCAGCAACCACCCTGGATTTCAACTGTCGATGGCCTTGGGATGTTATGGATGACACACATGTGTGTGTGTTCACCGCACGGGATATGACCCAATGGCCATGTCTCTTGCTGTTGATGGCCCGAATCCTAACATTGCATCCCTCGTTATGATTACGGAATCTGACTATGAGCCTTTTCGTGTTGGGATGTTATGAATGAGTTGCTTCAGTATCAATGGCGTGTCGCACCTCCTTCTTCGAGCCAAATTGTTGGCCCTTCATAAACCCAGTGAGTGGACTCCATATTGGAACCTCTGGGGATTCCATGTCGCTGTCGACCATCCAATTGCCGTCTGGAATGTGATTGTAGTAGGGGACTGGTACACGGTCATGAGCCACCTCATCATCATTATCTGACTCTGACTCTGGTCCTGAATCATCAGCACCTTCAAGAGGGTAGGAGCTGTCTGCACTGATGTTGTTCTCTCCTTCTTCATCGGAGGGGTCACTGACTGGTGCTGGCATGGCATCTTCCATCTGATCCAGCTCATGAAAGGCACCTTCATCAACTCCATAATGGTAGTTGTGAAAACTACCACTACCTGATTGGAATTGAAAATTGATGATGACCTTCACCTTGCTCTTGGTACTGAAAATAGGAATGGGGATCATGGTAACTTTGGTAGGGATGATCTCCATATAATTCACCTCCACCATGGATACTAGATGTTTGACCGTCTCCAAAATGACCTCCAACGCCTACGACCGGCTCGGTGTAAACGAACATCTCGGCTCTGGAAAGATTGTTGGACCTCAAGAATTCGAGCATGGCATCTACCTCATCTTGAGTGGTTATGAGATATTCCTCGTGCCACAATGACCCGCCATCTCTGTTTGGATATCGGTACACCATACGATCAACTATTCTCGTGCCATCCATGCAAGTAACGTTAGTACACATTTGATAGAGGTCTTCAAGCATCGGTCTGGTAGCGACCTTTATTTTCTGAAAATTGCCACCGACGTAGGTGACCCCATTTCCGCTCTCTTCCGTGTAACCATTCCACCGTAACCCAAGCGTGAACTTTTGGAATGCCATCTGGAAAAAAACAATAGTTCAAGTAATATCATAAAAACCACAATTCACAATTCACAATAAAAAGTAATACAAAATAAACTTACGAGTTAACGTTAACCGCAAAAACACTAGAGAAATAGGGAGCTACAATAGAAAATTCTAAAGGGAGAAGGAGAGGTGTGAAGAGAAGAAGATTTCCCGGGCTGCCTTTTATAGGCAAAATCATCAATGAAAACCTCACCTTAGAGGTGCGGTTTTCATCTGCCATGCAGCCCCACGTCTGTCAATCTGCATGGCTGCATGTTTGGTGTCGGAAAATAATTGACACACAAACCGCATTGGGGGGGTGCGGTTTGTGTTGCCAAAACCGCACTTTGAGGGTGCGGTTTGTTTTGGAGAAGCAAAACCGCATCCCCAAAGTACGGTTTTGCTAGGTCAGGCCTAGATCGCATCTGGGC